GGATGGCAGGGTTAGGTTAAAGGTTGGACTCGATGATCTTAAAGGTCTTTTCCAACCAGAGTGATTCTATGATTCTGTGATCCTGGGAACTCTGAAGCCTGAAAAACTGAAATATCATTGCATGGCAGCAGTGACCTGCAGCCTACGACTTGTGAGCAACACACTGCCTATAACTGCCTTCATTACTTGTGCCTGCTGAAAATTACAGCAATAGGACTTGAAAGCCATTACAGCCTGCCTGGATACAATACTTACATCACAGTAATTGCCACTCTAGCAATACTAGGATCTAAGACCAGAGAGAGCAAAACCTGATCCCTCCAATGAGATATCCCTTCTTCGATATTGCTCGATGGGCCACTAAACACTGGCAACACTGGACAGATGCTAGTGCGAGACCAATCTGATGTGAAGAAAGACTCAAACCCTACATAGCATTTTTAAGGTCTTGTACCTTCCGGTCATCTGGAATCAGGTCCTGCAGAACTTTCCTCTTGGGCCACTCCTTGGCCAGCTCTTCTCCAGCTAGCTCATGGAGATAATAGATCGCCACCTTTGCAGATCTCCTCTGAACTCTGCCTGTGTTATTTGGCTCCCGTTTTATTTCCTTCAGGCTCTCTGTTCTTCTCTGCTCATGGAGGAAAGTGACCTGCAATGAGGGCCAAAAAAGGTGAGCCTCCTTCCCTGGCTCCTATTCCACTTACACTAAATACTGTGAATAAATATTCTGCCAAATCCCTCACAAAAATGCTGCTGCAGCTGTGGTTCACTGTCACAGACATAGGACAGAAGTGCATCCCACTAGTGAGACGGGCCCCCAGATCTGCTCAGGGGGAGTCACAGCAGTAAGGCTCAAGCAGCGAGTTTCATCCAGCCACTGGTCTTGAAAGGATATCACATTATTCGCTGTAAAACCCTCATGAACAACAAGCATAGTACTGCCTGCTCGCTCCCATGTCGGGCCTTCTAAAAGCAAAGCAAAGCATCTCACAAGTTAGAGATGTTAGCATCATTCTTCCATGCAGCAAAAGCCAGGCTGGGGAAAGTTTACTGCTGCCACAGTGATTTACTATTAAAAACTTCCTCCTAGTCACAGAACAGCAACAGCTGCTGCTAGAAGGAACGTATCAAGGACAGAATACTCCAGGGAGACACAAAAATGAAAAGATTTACTATCCCTAATTACCCACCCAAGCAGCAGACAAAAGCCTACATGCCAAGTCTGAATGACTGAAGTACCACTGCACTATCCTGGTACCTACGGCACGTTGTACTTACCAGCCCATGCTTGGATCGGAGATGGTAGACAAGTCCTGCCTTTGATTTGTATGCTTTTCCACAGTGATGGCACTTCATAGCCATTTTCTCCAGCTCAGAAGCAGCCTTCCCACATTTTTTAACATGATATAGGTATCCATTTATGCTAGTGAAGCTGCCTGTGCAGCCCTGTCAATGCAGAAGAAAGAAAATGCATGGACGAAAAATGCTCTCCAAGTGATCACGAAACCACTGTTTATAGAATCCACAGTTTGCTGGCCAAAGTACTATCGCATTTCCTGTCAGATCAGGCAATCAGGTAGTAAACTTTCATATTAGTCTATTCAGATAAACAAAATCTGGGACAAAGAATTGGCTGCAACTGGGAAACACTGTTTCTTAGACCTTCTTTGTAAGTAGTGGGCAACAGAAAATTACAATATATAGAATGAAGATGCAAGATGTTAAATGAAGATGCACAAAACAAAGATTTTCAGATACAAGTGAAGGAGCTGGGCAGAAAAAGAGAATATTTTATACTTGGTTGGCTGGTCAAACTGCCTAGAATGCAGCAGTATTAGGGTGATGGTAAATAAAAATTTTCAGCTACTCCTAGAATACAGCTACTGTCTCATGCTGCAGTAGAGGACAACAAGAACTCCAATGGTTCCTGCAGATGTCACTAGAATAACTCCTAACCCTGAATCCAGTGATCAGTTTGACACTGAGCTTGGAAACAAGACAAATCAAACATGCATCAGAAAGTTTTTAATGTTCTTAGATGTACGCATCTGCTCTCCATCCCCTTCTCTAGTTGTGGCCAATCTCAGTATTTTCAAAAACCACAGACAAACTCACATTTAGTTTGCATAAAAACATCTTCCCAGCTATCACAAACAGCTAAGGAAAGAGCAGAAGTACACATTAATAAATACTTTTGGCGCATACAAGAAACAATCCAGTGTCTTCTCAGTCCCCCATGAAGACACCAACACATCAAATACTCAAAGAGCTCCAGCTGACCCTGCACAGGGTTTGAACTAGATGACCTCAGAAGTTCCCTTCCAGCCTTAACAATTGTATAATTCTGTGAAGAGTTTATAATACTGTTGCAAGGTAAAATGGTTATCCTTTAACTTCATCCCTGAATGCATTTATTATCTTCCACTGAATGCATTTATAAAGTCATACCTTTGCTGAATCTACATTTACGTATCTGGTTTAAAGGAGCCATTTTAAAAGCCCCTGTAATCAAAAACAAAAACTCCATTTTAATCACCCTAGTTGTCCTCTTTAAAAGAGTTTGAATGGGGATTAGGCAGTAACCAAAGATGAACTCCTTTCTAGTGTAAGCAAGAGAATGTCACCTAACAAGCCATGTGTGAAGCCCTAAAACTTCTAGTTGAGCTAGTCAGTGTTCACCAGACTCCTACTTTGTTTAGTCATGAGGTTCTAACCAAGTATCAGTCATTCCAAAATTCATTCTCTATGCTCAGTGCTTCACAAGTGTTTAGAGGATCTAGTTGAAGATGCCCCTACTCATTGCAGGGCAGCTGGACTAGATGACCTTTAAAGGTCATCATCCAAACCATTCTGTGATTCTGTGATACTCTGTCTTAAGAGCATAGCTAGCATCTTGAAACAAATCCAGCTTTGGCCAGCACCAAACCATACCCAGCAGAACTGTCATAATATTTTACATTCATGCATCCACTGCTGTTTAACTCAGGATACTTAGCAGAATGCAGCTTACCTCCCTCGTACACTTTAGCTTTCTGATACGCTTCAAAACCTTCCGAAGGCGGTCTCGCTCAAGCTGCTCATCCAGTTCTCCTCCCTCCTTCACAACTGGCTAAAGCACAGCAGAAAGATGAAAGAAAAACACAGGATGCTCAGCATTTACAGTTCTTCTCATAGGGAATTCAATATTCAACACATTACTGAAGGAAAGCTTCCCAAATAATTAAGTCTCTGCAATTTATGATTTTACAGAGGTGTCTCTAATCAATGGTCACTGTCTATATCCCAGAACAACTGAATTACCTTTAAAAGGAGTAAACTGCCTGAAAACCACTTTGCAGACAAGAATTTTAACATTTAGATAGCTACCTATGAACAAAACATTAATAAGAAATGGTCCCAAACTATAGCTTATGGTCAAGGGTATGTATTTCCCTTATTACTTTTCTCCCCTCCTGCCTGTGGAAAGTACTTACTCATCTCTGTCATGCACCTTTAACATTTACTGGTCCTACCATTTCCACTTAGCCTAACTAAAGCTACACAGACTACCTGCCTGTAACAGTTATTCATCTATGCTGAACTGCAGCCCAAGTTGGAGCATGACTGGAGGTCGGCAAATGTGACACCCATCTACAAGAAGGGCAGGCAGGAGGATCCGGGGAACTACAGCCCTGTCAGCCTGACCTCGGTACCGGGGAAGGCTATGGAGCAGTTCATCTTGAGCGTGCTCACCAGGCATGGGCAGGACAATCAGGGGGTCAGGCCCAGCCAGCATGGGTTCATGAGAGGCAGGTCCTGCCTGAAAAACCTGATTTCCTTCTATGACCAGGTGACCCCCCTGGTGGATGAGGGAAAGGCTGTGGATGTTGTATACCTGGATTTCAGCAAAGCCTTTGACACAGTCTCCCACAACATCTCCTAGAGAAGCTGGCGGCTCATGGCTTAGACAGGCACACTCTTCACTGGGTAAAAAGCTGGCTGGATGGTCGAGCCCAGCGAGTTGTGGTGAACAGAGTTAAATCCATTTGGCAGCTGGTCACAAGCGGTGTCCCCCAGGGCTCAGTTCTAGGGCCGGTCAGTTTAGTATCTTTATCAATGACCTGGACAAAGGGATCGAGTGTACCCTAAGTAAGTTTGCAGATGACACCAAACTGGGTGGTAGTGTTGATCTGCTGGAAGGTAGGTAGGAGGGCTCTGCAGAGGGACCTGACCAGGCTGGATCCATGGGCCCAGGCCAACTGTATGAGGTTCAACAAGGCCAAGGGCCGGGTCCTGCCCTGGGGTCACAACAACCCCATGCAACGCATCGTGCCCCTGTACTCGGTGCTGGTGAGGCCGCACCTCAAATACTGTGTTCAGTTTTGGGCCCCTCACTACAAGAGAGATGTTGCGTTGCTGGAACATGTCCAGAGGAGAGCCACAAAGCTGGGGAGCGGTCTGGAGCACAAGGCTTATGAGGAGCTCATAAGAGCTGAGGGAACTGGGGCTGTTTAGTCTGGAGAAGAGGGGGCTGAGGGGAGACCTGATCGCCCTCTACAACTACCTGAAAGGAGGCTGTAACAAGGTGGGGGTTGGCCTCTGCTCCCTGGGAACAGGCGATGGGACGAGGGGGAATGGTCTGAAGTTGCGCCAGGGCAGGTTTAGGTTGGACATTAGGAAAAATCTTTTCAATGAAAAGGCTGTCAGGCACTGAAAGGGGCTGCCCAGGGAGGTGGTGGAGTCCCCATCCCTGGGGGGATTTAAAAGCCGGGCAGAAGAGGTGCTCAGGGACAGAGTTTAGTGGTGGGATGGCAGGGCTAGGGGAACGGTTGGACTAGATCTTAAAGGGCTTTTCCAACCTAAACGATTCTATGATTCTATTATTCTAAGTTCTTCTCTATTCTCTCTCTGATAGTTATTGTACATTATTTTCTACACTACCTTATAACGATATTCCACCTAGACTGAATAAAATATGAGAACTGAGTGACAGACCTATTCCTCAAGGCCAGAACATGATCCCTCACCTATTTCATTTACTAGTACAGCTGTAGGTTCAGAAACAACGGTACTGGGAACTATGTAAAAGTGACAGTAATGAATTGTCTAAACCTTACCCAAACTTTCAAATGACCTTTCCAAAAGCTCTAATTCTTCACAACTACAACAGGAGACTTAGCCTTCTTTAAAGTAATACCAAAGAGGAAAAGCATATTGTAGCATTAGTATCTTTACAGCAAATAGAGACAAGAACTAAACTGCTGCTCCTGCTTTTTTTACCTTTGAACTTGTAAAGAACTGAAATCTAGTCTGCTCTGGATGTAGAAAAACTCCTACTTTCTAGCAAAGGACTGAAAATGGCAGCCTAACGAGCAATCATTTTTTTTCTGATTGAGAATGTGTTTTATGTGTGACATAAAACTAGCCTAAACAGAAATTCATCCCCTCTTTCTAAGATGTAGCATGCCTAGCATCTCTGCTAACATTCTACTATTAATTTCAAATGTCAAATTTGACAGGAAAAATAATAGGTAGAGAAGATCTGAACAGCAACAACATTTGAAAAACCACACTATATTCTGTTTCTGTGGGCTCCAGGGAAGGAACAAAAGACTATCTTGCCTGTAGGATTTTTATATGCGCAGCAGCTGTGTTACCTGATTGTTATGGTCTGCCATGACGTGGTATTTCATACCCCCTAAAGACTTCAGCTGCTTCCCACAGTGATGACACGTGAACATTTCCTAGAAATAAACAACGACATGGTGCATGTAACTGTAAATTAACCAAAGCAGTGGGAAACTCTTTGGGGGAAAGGAACAGGAAAGGAGAACATTTTATTTGGGCCTGGTAACTACCCATTAAGAACAGATGAGATTTTATGGAGTCTAAAATTTAGGGGAACAATGAAATGGCTACACCTTTGTTCACTACCCCAAACCTCCAGCAAAAGGCTAAGCAAGAAGCACAAGCTGCACCAAGTGAAGCCTCTTACAGATGCATAAAGGACTCTTCCTTAAGATGAAACTGGTTTTAAATGCAACACAAACCAGTGTGCAGGCATTTCTATCAGTAAGCTGGAGAGGAGTAAAGAGAACATCACTCATCTCTCTTGTTCTTACCTGCCTGCAATTTACCATATGTTTCTTCAGTCCTTCTACAGTCTTTCTCACCACAGCCCGGCATGTTGGACAGGTAACTCGGCCTTTGTCCTGAATTTCCAAAGACCATTGCTCTTCCATACTACCTGTCAAAACAAAAGGTTTGGAATAGAACTGCAAACATAGGATTTTTTTTTTCCCTTTTGATGTGCACAATGAATCCTAGAAGGACACCTGCGTGTCACATGCTACCAAACTTGTGTCCAGCCACACTTCAACAGGTTTAGCTCATTTGCAGCTTTAAATGTGTCATGTGACAAGGCACACATCACTCCTTTTGGGCAATCATTTTACAAAAACTTTTTAATCCTACCATCCCCTTGTGAGGAGCGTTCCTCCACTTGTTCAGCAGAGGTTTTTCCTCCATTCATTTTTATTACACAATTACTTTAGCATGCAGAGTAAACTTTTCTTTTAGCAAAAGGGTTTTCACAGTAAAAGTAGTCACAGATGTGACCGAACAGTTTCAGACAAATTCCACACTTCAGCTCTACTAACTAAATCTTTAGAACTCCACTTAAGCTAGCCAGCAGTTTTGGCACTGGAAGTGAACAGAGCTGCACCACCACGCAAAGTTAGTCAACAGCCAGGGAAGAAGTGCCCTGTGTGGCATGGCTTCCAGTTTCTGGCCTCTTTATGAAATGCCAAGCAAAAGCTTGGCATAATCCACAAGGACTATAAATTGCTGAAATGGATCCTGGGAAGAAAGTGGCTTAGCAGCCATGTGCTTGAATTCTTACCATAAAAAGATCTAAAGGCTTTCCTTTTTGTCCAGTAATAACAGGCAAGGGGTGTCCCTCCCCAGGTCGCTGGGGAAAAAGTCTGTGAAATAAACGGCACTTGGCAGAAAACTAGGGTATTTACTGAGTGCTGTGAGCTATATATACCAAGACATCCCACTTGCTGAGTCAAGGCTAATGTTACTTTTCTAGGATGGACTGCTTGGGTCTCCAGCTGCCAGGTTACCAGAAAAGGTGATTTGGCAGCAACAGCTACAGAGTTTTTCCTGCATACATATTCTGCCAAGTAAAAAAGTATATATATTTTTATGAGTTTTATAGTGAAACTATTTTAACAGGCTTTTGCTCAGTTCAAAAAGTGATTCCCCTTCATTGTTCCCTTACGCAGCGGTAAAACCACGTGGAACTACACTATTAGGCAGTATGCAGTGCCTCCAATCTCACTCTGCAGTACTGACACAGTGGCAAAACAACAGCAGCCAGTTCTTCCTTGTCAACAGTAAAGTGAACAACAAAATGGAAACACCAGAAACACAGCTGTTGCTCAGATTTAAATCCTAGAATCACATTTAACCTTTAGCTGCTTTATAAACAATTCCGAGCAACTGCTGCTTCTTACCTGTGCCATAAGTTCCTGGTTCTTTCTGAACACAGTGGCCTTTCGTTTTGGAGTTCTGTTGTGTTCCAGCTTGCTGGTTTTTTCCTGCTATAACACAAACAAGACAGACCAGAAGACTGAATTCTGCGAGCCATGTTCCAAAAAAGCAGAGATTTGCTAGGAGGCTGCTATTTAGTCTGCTATCTCAAAGCTACTCATTCAGAGATGTTCAATGCTTTTTTTTTTTTTAAAGGAATTTCAAGGTTATTCCCCCTTGCAAAATCCATAGCCATTTACAGATGCAGACATTAGTCCCATCCAGATGTTTGTAACCTGTATGGTTGTTCACACACAAAGCTCAGGGGATAGGAACTCTACACTGAAACATCCTCTCTTCACAGTACGGCAGAGCCAATCTAATGACTTGTTGACAACTAAATGGGCAGTCCCATTCCACTACTCATTCCTGTTTTCTTTAGACTAAACAACTCATTGTTTCAGTATTTTCTCATGGGTTATGCTTTTTGCACTCTTCTCGTCCCTGTTCTCTTCAGCTGGTCCACGCATTTCCTGAACTGCAGTGCCCACTGCTGGAAACAGCCTCCAAGTGTGACACTGCATTAGAGCAAAAGAATTACTTCACATGTCTAGAAAGTCTATGTTCCTGCTCAAACACCTCAGTATAACATCAGCCTTTTTAAAAACAAGTACGGCACTGTTGGTCCCTATTCAGCCTTTGATCCGTAATAAATCTTGAATCCCAAGCCTAACCCTAACCTGAAGAACTGACACCTAGGAGGTTGTTCTTTGCCTTTCAGCTGTGCTAGTATTTCTTCCTAACTACGGTATCTTTAATTTTACGCACTATATTCCATGCTATTTTTAACCTGTTTCTCTAACATCAAGACCATTTTAGCCTTTTCTCCAACACACTTGCCACCTCTTTCAGCTTTGTGTTGACTACATACTTCCAAGTCTGTGATGCCAAAAACAGTAGTTAGAATTGAACCTAGGACAGATTGTGAACCATAATTCTACACTCTTTTCTATTTCACAGAAATATTAAGGTTGGAAGGGACCTCCTGAGATCACCTAGTCCAACCGCTGTGTTCAAGCAGGGTCAGCTAGAGTAGGTTGCCAAAGAACGTGTTCAGTCAAGTTTTGAGTATCTCCACTGCTGCAGACTTCACAACCTCTCTGGGCAACCTGAGCCAGGGTTTGACCACCCTTAGCAAAAAAGGGTATTCTTGTCTTTAGATAGAATATGCTGTTGCCTGCCTTTGCCATAAGAGTGCATTGCTGGCTCATGGTCAGCTTGCTGTCCTCCAGGACCCCAAGGTCCCTCTCTGCAGAGCTGGTTTCCAGAAAGTTAGTCCCCAGCATATGCTGGTACAGGGAGTTATTCCTGCCCTGCTGCAGGACTTCACGTTTCTCCTTGATGAACCTCAACAGATTCCTCTCCGCTTAATTCTTCAGGCTGCCTGGGTCCCTGTGAACGGCAGCACACCCATCTGGTGTACCACCACTCCTCCCAGTTTTGTATCAGCTGTGTACTTGCTGAGGGTGCACACCGTCCCATCATCCAGATCACTAATGAAAATGTCAAACAGTACTGGCCTGTCCTGGTTTCAGCTGGGATAGAGTTAATTTTCTTCCTAGTAGCTAGCATAGTGCTGTGTTTTGGATTTAGTACTACAAGACCGTTGATAACACACTGATGTTTTCAGTTGTTGCCAAGTAGTGCTCAGACTACTCAAGGACTTTTTGAGCTTCTCTTGCTCAGCCAGGTGCATAACAAGCTGGGAGGGAACACAGCTAGGACAGCTAACCCAAACTGACCAAAGAGCTATTCCATACCATATAACGTCATGCTTGGGAGGAGGTAGTGGGTCGGCGGCTTGGGGAGTGATCACTGCTCGGGACAGGCTGGGCATCGGTCGGCAGGTGGTGAGCAGTTGCGCTGTGCATCATTCATTTTTTATATCCTGTATATTCTCTTACCATTCTCATAATTACTATTATTATTATTTTCTCTTATTAAACTGTCTCTATCTCAGCCCATGGCTCTAACCTTTTTTTTTTCTTCCCGATTCTCTCCCCCATCCCACTGAGGGAGGGGGGAGTGAGCGAGCGGCTGCGTGGCGCTTAGTTGCCAGCTGGGTTAAACCACGACACGGCCCCAGTATTTGCCCTGGGTACACCACTAGTGACGTGCCTCCAACTAGACTTTGTGCTGCTGATCACAGCCCTCTGGGCCTGGATGTTCAGCTGGTTTTCAATCCACTGCATTGTTCACTTATCTAACCTGTACTTTGTCAGCTTGCCTATAAGGACGTTGCAGGAAACAGCACCAAAAGCCTTACTAAAGTAGAGGTGAACAACATCCACTGCTCTCTCCTTGTCCACCAAGCTAGTGACCTCATTGTAGAAGCCTGTAAGGTTGATTAAGCATGATTTGCCCTTCATGAACCCATGCTGACTACTCCCAATCACCATCTTGTCCTTTATGTGTTTGGAAATGCCTTCCAGGAGGATTTTCTCCATCACCTTCCCAGGGACTGAGGTGAGGCTGACCAGCCTGTAGTTCCCCAGATCTTCCTTCTTTCTGTCCTTGAAGATAGGAGTGATATTTGCTCTCTTCCAGTCTTCAGGAACCTCTCCCAGTCACCATGACCTTTCAAGGATAAAGTGGCCTCACAATGACATCAGCCAGCTCTCTCAGCACTCAGTGCAACCCACCATGGGACTTAGGTATGTCCAGTGCTCTAACCTCGTCCTCCTTCACTGAGTGTAAAGCTTCCTTGCTCCAGACTTTCCATCTGGTCTCAGGTGTCTGGATTCCTGAAGGATTCCTTTAACTGATAAAGACTGAGGCACAGGAAGCACTGAGTGCACCAGCCTTTTCCATGCCATTTGTTACCAGTTCCCCTGCCCTGTTCAGCAGCATACTCATCCTTTCCCTAGTCTTCCCTTTGCTGTTCATGTACTTAGAGAATTGATTATTTTTGCCCTTCCCAGATGCAGCTCCAGGTTGGCCTTGGCTTTCCTAACCTCATCATTGCAAGACTGGACAGCAAACACATACTTCTCCTGTGTCACCTGCTCCTACTTTCAGCACCTGTATGCTTCCTTTTGCACCTAACCACTGATTAACAACCCTTTGAAGGCATGAAAGACCTATATCATCAAACATTTCCCCCCCTCCCTCTCTGTGGTAAAATAAAATGAAAGTGGTTGGGTTTGATTTCTCCTTAACAAACCCACATTACTGTTATCATCTACTCATTAATCTCCAGATGTTTACAAGTAATTTGTCTGATAATTTAGTCCAGAATCTTTTTGGAAACTGAAATGAAGCAAACTATCCTATACTTCCCTTACTTCCTTTCTTCCCTCCCTTTGCTGGACTTCTAAGAGACTGAAATTAGAACAATCATCTTGCACTGTAAAACTAGTCAACAGTCTCCTATAACAAAATACCCAGAATCAGAAATAGAGTTGGAAGACAGCAGAGGATAGCATTTGGGCAGAGAGGAAGTCTGAAGTACCTGGAGGCTTGTAACTAGGAATTACAAGTTATTTGTATTACCCGAAATCTTCTGCTTCTTCTTGGGAGAGACTTTAAGATCTTCGCCTTCCCCTTGCTCAGATTTCCTCTTGCCTTTCAATAGTACTTCTGTTAATGAATAAGAACAGAAAAGCTTCAGTCTCATTATTCAGTCTGGATAACAGCTTTGAGCCTGCTGCTGCCTCAGCTTATCCTCGTATTCAGTACTTAAAAACCCAACAGTTTTTGTAAGGCACTGGACACCAGCGAGCTAGACACAGCCTTCTGATTCAGTAACATTTAGGCACTCCACAGCCTGCAATCTGCCGTCACAGAAAATATGGAAGAAACAGTGCTGCAGCATGGTCTGGGAAAATAATACTCATCAGGAAGAGAGCCAGAAGGTGCCAGGTTATGTCATGAAAAGCTCATATGCACACACACAAAAAGGAGCATAAAGAATGGCAGGTGGGGAAACCCAAATAATATCCTGCTTCCCCTCACTATTTCCAGGCCTATAAAAGGCTATCTCCATGAACACAGAGAAGTACAGAAGCAGCACAATGACAGGCAGGGGAGCACAAATTATGGACTCAAAGAAACAGAAACCTTCCTCCCAGGTCTGTCCCAGGAGACCCACCAGGATGATGGCTGGACTTGATGATCTTAAAGGTCTTTTCCAACCTAAAAGATTCTATGATGAGTCAACAGGAGCCACTCTCTGGAGCACCCTTTGGAAGGGGGAAGGGGAGGAGTGGTCAGAAGGGAGAGTGTGGTGTTAATGCGTAGGATTATGTGACGCATGGGATCCTAGCGAAGAACAACTCAGGATTATACAAGACTGGGATGTTTAGGAGTGATATCAAAGGAAGGGAAAGGGAGAGAATTAGCTGATTTGGGGAGGATCAAGTGTAGGAAAATAGAGGTGTAAGAGGATAAAAAGAGCCACTTGCTTGCAGGCAGGTGGTTGGTCAGTATACAAGTCTGGTCACGCCTGGCACTAGATCAGAGGGACCAGGGGAGAGCAGTGTCTGTGAGCGCGACCCTGTCTGTAAGGAGGTCCACACCAGCAACTGGCATGGCTCTGCAGGCCTCAGGGACTAGTACGTCCATGTGCCAGCAAGTGAGGAGACTGGGATCCAAAGGCTGTATAATGAGTAGACTGTTTAAGTCCAGCTACAGGAGAAATCATGTGCACACACAAAGGTACACATACATATATACGTACTTCTTTTGTATATACTTTTTATATATGCTTCTTTTCTCTCACTAGCACATCTTCAACCTGATGAGCCAGACAGGGAAACAGGATGGAGGCTGTTGGTGCTGTTTGTGTGAGTGCCGAGTGAGCCTCTCTGTTGATCTGTGTGGCTGGCTATACACATTGTATACACGTGTTTATACCTACAGGAACACATGCTTAGTCTTGCTACTGGTTGGACCTGGGGGTGTGGAATGGCAGCAACCTTGCTTCTATCAAGCTACCAGATTCAGCTGTTCCCACAACAGGACAGAATACAGACTCTGATTTAGAGATAAGAAGAAAGTGCATTAAAGAAGAGCGAAGTTTTGGCTCTCCACCACACAAGATGTTTGGAAAGCAGTTCGTAGGCCAGGAAATCTGAATGTTCCTACAACAACATAAGGCCCAACCCACACCAAATCAGAAAATCATAAATGACAGAAGCAAGAAAATAAAAGAAATAAAAACATCCTAAAAAAAAAAAAATCTACCCACCACAAAAGCCATGTCTAATCCAGAATACTGCTGAATGGTCCCCTTTTCTACACCTTTACTGTTGCTTGTTCTATTTTTAAAGCTCTCAAAGCATATTCCTGATATGACTGGCAGAATCCTTATACGTATCTCTTCTACAGATAAAACTGAGTTCAGTCACAGAATCATTAATTTTCACAGACAAGTCACTCAAAAGGAGCTGTGTAACATCAGAGAATTTTACCTATGTTTCTGCAGTGGAGGAAGTTTATTTCTCCTAATACATGAGCAGCATTACCAAGCTTGCAATTTGTGGCTGAACTGCAGCATGTCTTTCAGAAGTAATCTAATCTCTCATAAAAGAACCAGAGAGAAAAAGAGCCAAGAGTGAGAAGTACCTTTTTTTTCTGAAGACTTGTTAATGCTGTTTTTTATTCCTCTCATTTCCAACCAGTAAGCAGGCCTGCGAATGGTCCGCTTGCTTCTGGATGCTGCACTTCTGTTCACTTGACTCTTTGGTGAGGCAGAAGAAACGCTGCTGACTGTCTCATCATAGGTACTGTTCAGTCCTAGGACAGTAGTTTCCACCTCCTCAAATTGTTTAGACCTGGAATACATAAACTTGAAATCCTATGTATACGTATGCATAGATACACACACAGTCACAATAACTTGACAGACAACATCCCTTTCATCTTCCCAAGTACTCTAAAAATTCATCTCAGTTCATTGAATCTCCTGAGTTTTGTGAACTGAAAAGTGCCAGCAAGATAAAACATCCTAAATGTTATTTTACAGTAAATCTTTCAGAGAATGACATTAGAGAGCTACTCAAGAGGAACAGGAAAAAATACTCATCCTACCTCAAACCTTCAACTTAAGCAGCAGGGACAAATTAATCTCAATTTAAAAATACACACTTGTCCTTCGGCAACCAACGTGGAATATAAGAATTCTTCTGCAGCCCATCATTACAAAAGAGACGTTTTCCATCCCACAAAGGGCAAGATGTCCTTCAGTATGTATTCCCAGAGTCAGAGCTGACACCACACATTTAAAAGACTTAATACGAGTAAGAATTTTAATCAGCAAGGCTTTCAGCAATGAATACAGCCCTATAGTATACCCTACCAATCACACTACATTAAAGACTAATTTCGACTAGCCAGCAGCACTGATTTTTCTTCTTAGAGATCAGAAGGAACTTTGCTTCACTCTTCTCAAATATTTCTCACAGCCCTGAAATGCCTGGACATTTACACCACTGTATGTGACAGCAAATGATCAGGTGTCAAAGAACCACAGAGTACTCATTCCCTGGGCAAATACCATTAATGCAAGAGGAAAGGACAGAAAACACAAACATTTTTCAACATATCCCACTGCTACCACAATTCACAAACTGAAATAAGTAGATCACTTGAGTGATGACTGTGATGGCCATCCCAGCAATACTCTCCCACACCCTGAGCTGTGGGGCTCATGTGTTTTAACATGTCAGTCCAAAAATTAGTAAGTGGGGGACCCTGGTGGTACTGGGTCAGATCAGTACACACTACATTTAAGGAGGCACTGCAGAAGGACAGGGAGAGGAATTCTCAAATTAAAGCCTTTCAGTTACAATCACACTCAAAATACATAGATTTTGGAACTCCATTTGGTCTTGAACATAAAATATTTATCTTCCCAGTGTTAAAATCCTTTTAAAAACAATAAATGAAAGCTAATACCCCTTGAAGTGTCAGAAAAGCACTTTTCCCACAAACCAATCAGCAAAGTCATTTGAGACTCTCATCACACAAAATCACTGTAGCTCTTAAAATTTAGAATATTATGTAAAGACCAGATATGGTTTTCCAATAGTAATCTCTCGGCTAAAAAGCTGTCTCGCCCTCAGCCAAACTAGACAAGAAACATTCACATACTTTTTGTTTCCCAGAGACCTCCTGACCTTCTGTTGTCTGTGATGTCCAGGCCTCGTGTCCTAACAAAGTAGAACAATTCACATTAGCAGCGTAATTTTTCTTCTTTTTGCATGTTTCACTTTTCTGTTAAAGACAATCACTTGCACTTTGAGGATGTCCATACTACCCTTTGAAAAGGAAACCACTGGTTTCTGCAACAAGGAAGCGTTTTACCTTTTCAACTCCAGCTGAATCAGAGCTGGAATCAAAATAGGGATGAGCCCCTCTACACTCCCCATATGAAAGGCAACCATTCCCCTTGCACTGGGGCACGACGAAGTGCTCTTTGTCTGGGCAGAAAGCAGGTACCACTGAATGAATTGGAGACTTTTATCACATGTTAACAAATACTTTGGATCCTAACTTCCTAGTTTTTACATAGTGCTTATTTTTTTCCTTAATGAAACAATTCTTGCATTTATCATGCCAAGAATGTTGTCTCTAGTCTCTTTTACATACTCTTTTCATTTTTTATCTCAATTACTTTGTCATACTCCATCAGCTGCCCGGACACCCACTTTATCCACATCACAGAATCCTCCTTCTTACTTAACAAAGATTTTTTGTCACTTACTGCTCGTTGCTTCTTATGCTGCTATTAAGACACGTAATTTAACAGATACCATTGACATTGCCAAGTCAGTATAAACAGCTCATTTGCTGTACGTTGTTCCCGGTGCGTGGACAATCATTTACCACCTTCTTCATGAAAATACTAACAATGACTCAATGTCGTTCTTCACTGGAAACCCAGGACAAAAATCTTGGTTATACAGACTAGAAAACAAAAATAATTGCCCAGTAGAAGTATATGAAATACCAAAACTGTAACCTAGGAACAGAGATAGATTTTGCCACATACAGGAACTGGCTAAGAAATTGGGAAAAAAAAGAAAAGGAAGAACATGGATAAAGTACCTTTCTTCTTCATAGAAAAATGTAATGCACATTATCAACTGGACCATGCTATGAAGCATTTTAGTTATTAGAAATAAATGCTACACATTATCTGGGGAAAACAGCCAACAGGGGTATGACAGAATTTGAAGAACTCATAAAAGCGCGATGATTTGTCAGTAGGAGATGCCAAGAAACTTCAGGTGCTGCATGAAAACTAGGAAATAGGCAGCATCAAGGCAAATGAAATTCACCACTAAAAAATGCACTGGAAAAAAATTATTTTCAATCTGTCTTTTATGCTCTTGCCTTCTAATGTATGCACAGGAACAAGCAGTAGCTCGCTTCTCCCAGGATCACAGTCAGTGAGAGGCACCCTAACCACCAGGTAAGAAATTCAGTAGCAGGCGCTGGCATCAACTAGATGAATACTGAAACTATGACTATGGAACGTCAGCCTCTCCTTGGGCCTCCAGCCCCAGCGCCTCCTCTCGCGGGAGGGTTAGGAAAGCAGCAGGGGAGAAATTCACAACGGGTTGATTGATGACTTCACTATCAGATCTTGCCTTCTTTAGAATAAAAGTCAACCGAAGGCATTTGTAGGACTTTGATATAGTTTACATGCATCTAGTAGTGCAACCAGCAGTGTTTGGGAAACCCCTACATCAGAAACATGGAGAAACCTCACCGAGGAGCAGCTAGCAAAACATGAGGCTTGTGAAGTTCCAACAATAAAAATGAACGAACAGGCAGGCATAGTCTGCTGCAATCAGCTGGCCTGATCTACCATTAAAAGAACCTTGATGATTGACAAACATGGCATATGTTTTAAGTTTTTTTTTTTTTTTTTAAAGAACTGAAGAATTTTGCATAAAAGCGAAGGTCATTATGAAGAATTTAGGTCACAGTTAAGGATCTGCAATAGAAAAAAAAGACACTACAGATGATCTGTCTAGCTTTCCTTTCTGGGAAGTTGACAGCAGCAATTACGAAGGAAACATGTAGAGAAACTGGTGTTTAAGTTTCGAATGTTTTTTATTTATACATAATATGGAAAACAAAAAAGCCACCTTCATTGCACAGGTTAGAAAAAAAAGAAACAGCGGCCTAGAGCCTGACAAGATGAAGAAACTTCCTTTGTAAGTGGGCCACTTCTGCCTCCCTACGGACTGTGGGACGTTTCTGTGACCTGCAACACGGCCTGCTGCTGCAGGCTGCTCCACAACACAGCTGGGAAGATGATGTTTAAGCACAGCATGGAAGCTCTCACTGAGGTCAGGAGACTGATGCAGCAACTGCCAGCGAGTCAGTCCTGCAGCCACCGGGGAGAGTGTCAGAGAAGGCACCGAGCATCCTGCGCCGCCGCGACCGCCCCGACCCCCGAGGAAAAGCCGCCGGGGCAGCCTCACGTTGCCGTTCCTCCCCGCACACTCCATGGAACCCGCCCCCT